GTTAACGAACTTTTCAGTTAATGAACGACCTTCTGGAACGGATTGAGTTCGTTAACCGAGGGGTCACTGTACAGTAAACCACTCACAAGCTCCTACCACTAATTATTTTATACTGAAACTTAAGTTTGGGAAGCTGGATTAAAATGAAGATTACCGGTATATTAAAATAATAAAAATGTTTTATAAACCAGTCTAACATACCGTAAAAGAACAATATACCCCGGTAATAAACACAGCTGCTATCATCACCCCCCACCCACCCATTTGCCAGTGACAAGAAAGGGAAAGTGACCTTGACTGTGACCGCCTGTGGCTATTTTTAGCCGTCCTTGTGTTCGGAGGTGGTCAGTAATGCATATCTGTATATTTACTGATCATAATACTTATCTCCTATAAATAATTAATTTAAAATTTATTTTTTTACAAAGAATATTCAGTAAATGACTGCGTTAATTCTTGAAACTACCGACAGTGGTAAATTTAGGATATAAATGATGAACAGAAGTCACGTCATGGATTCGGAGTTTGGTCCTTAATGATCACCATAAATGTCTGGTCAACTTCACCTACCAGGTATAATGGTAGCCTCCCTTTTTCGCAAAACAAGTATATAATTAAAGAAAATACTTGCAGTGTGTTTAATATATTACAGTATATTATAAATAAATAAATAAACAAATAAATCGGCAAATCTATTTCAAGTAAACGGAAATATTTTACTCACACCGACATTAGTTCCAGTTAAATAACTGACGCTTAAGTGAGTCACTAGTGTACACCAGCCGGTGCCAATACTTTAAGTGAATTGGCCTTATTTTAAATAACCAACCATAAATAAATGCAAAAAGGAAAAAAGATCAAAGGTGAGAAAATTATATTGTATGTATGTTGTGTTGTCAAAGGAAGATAAACAATTGAAACTCTGCAATTGTGTGTAAATGAGGCAGAAAGATAGATCAGCAACCTAAGACTTGGTCACAATTTTCGTGATGCCATATGGAAGTAGGATCTACTATTAGACAATACTGTACATTATGCTTCCAATATCTTCCCGGGCGGTAGTATCTCCCTGTTTGGTAGCTGCCTAAAATTTTTAGTAATATTACTTTGATACAACATGATAAATTAGACAAACAATGAAAATAAACAAACAAAAGTTATTTACCAAGACCTTCTCTCTGAGAACAGAGGGATGGAGAGGAGATAAGTAGGTTATTTATAGCCCGTCTTTGTGTAGGAAGTCGACCACACTATAAATAATTCATTTAAAATTTATATTTTTTACATAGAATATTCAGTACATGACTGTGATTATGAAATAGGCCGAGATATACGGTATGTAATATTTATGTGTGTGTGTGATGTAAACAGAGCGCTTGGCCTCTCTCTCTCTGTATGGGTGGAATTCGTGGTTTAGAGTGAGTGATACAAATGTCGTAACATTACTAGGCTGAAGGCGCCTGAATACTACTTAGACACATCAATATTATGTTAATTGATCACTGTATAATAAATTCATTCACAATTATGTTAATTGATCACTGTATAATAAATTCATTCACTCATAATTTCAAATTCCCTTATCATCCTGTGTTATATACAGAAATACTTGAGTCCCTGAGCGAGTACACAAAAAAAAAACGGAGGACTAAGACATCCTGAAGTGGGTAGAGAACGGACATCTCTACAGGGGGACTCAAACGTTTCTTATGTTTTGTGGGCACTGTAGCATAATATGAATAATATGTAAATTACAATTTACTTATATATATATATATATATATATATATATATATATATGTAAATTGTAAAAATTTAAATAAAAGAAAAACTAAATACGTAGCGGTTTAAAGTGTACTGTACAGTGTTGTGGCTTGGCGCGGGGTTATGCAGTGTTTACAGTTCACGTTCGACATCACATGTTCAATTGATTTATGTGTTTTGTTTGTGAACAATTGCAGAAATAATTTATGTAATATTTAAGTATACAGTATACCTGTACAGTATATGTAAAATGTAAAATTTTAAATAAGAGAGAAAAACATAATACATAGCGTTTTAGACCTGCGCGCTCTGTTTACTCCACACGTTCAGTCTGAAACACGTGTGAAGTTTTTAAGCGTCCTCAGTGAATTCTGATTGCTGTTTCTCCAATTTTGTGACTATGGAAAAGAAGAATATCTCCGGGAAGCGTTCTGGTGATCGCATTTCCGGTGGTGATCGTAACAGAAAGGCTATAACACTTGAAGAAAAGCTTGATGTTTCATGACTCCTCAGCCTCAACATCAACCTTCTCCCCCATCAAGTTATATTCATATTTTTTCAAGGTAAAGTGTAACATTTACTGTATGATTTCATTATTAGATATGAATGCAACATTTATTTAGACTGTGCTATCCTTTGTGTTAGGCTAACTACGAAATTTTTTTTCGATTTGGAGTAATCTGCACCTAACCCTATTTTCTCCATAAGCCCTGTTATTTCTATTACGCGAATTTCTATAACACGATGTTTTACAAGAACACAACTACCGTGTTATAGCAGAACTGACTGTATTTCTCTTAAGTATTAATTGTGTGCATGTACAGTACCACCATAAAATTAAGATGTTATTTTTACTAGAACATAGGTATTGTGTCGGAAAAAGTGGAGTTTGGGGGTCAGCCGGTCTCTATTTCATTTAATCCCATATGTTATGTTGTTCACTTTACGCGTTTCTCGCTTTACGCGGGCCTCCGTGGGTTCAATTGACCGCGTAAAGTGAGGGTCCACTGTATATATATATATATAGTATATGCAAGTAAATCACTGTGGGTGCGCGTGATCCAGGTATATGCTGATAACCACAAGGAAAGAAGAAAACACGAAGTTCCCAAACGCTTTCGTGTAATTCACATCTTCAGGGGTGAGTACAGACTAAAGAGAAGTACAAAATAAGGTATATATATACAGAGGAGGGTGAGATCAAGTCCACAATGGTCAGGTATAGGTAATGACCCTACTAATCTTCAAAAAAGCACCGCAACGGTCGGTAGTGAGGTCAGAGTGTAAGCTGACCCAACCTTCTCACCTGGTTACAAATCTTTTTAATTACGAAATTATCCAATTTGTACATACCATTACTCAAATTCATGTTGACGGATTCGGTATGTTTAATGAGACTAGATTCTATAATGTTCCTACTGTCAATTGAATTACAAGGTAATATTGAGGAGGCATTATCCCGGTCAATGCAATGTTTATTATCCCTCAAATGAACAAACAGAGCATTGGATTCCTGGCCTGTCCTAACACTGTATTTATGTTGTTTAAGTCTAGTTACAAAATCTTTACCTGTCTGGCCTAAGTAAAACCTATTACATTTCTTGCAAGGAACTTTATAAATGCAGCCACTTGTATTGTTGGGGCAGTTCTTGATTAACCTTTGTTTAACAGTGCATGAGTTTTTAAATGCCACATTGATGTTCCAGGTTTTTAGTTGTAAAGGAATGTGCGAGAAATTTTTGTGAAATGGTAATACTAAGAGATTCTTATGGTCATGGGTGGGCTTGGGATCGGTTCTATAGAAAGATTTCTTAGTAATGTTAAGGCATTTGTCTATGAAAGATCTAGGGTACTTAAGGTTCAAGCCAATATTATAGATATATTTATATTCCTTATCAATGAATTCTGGGTTGCAAATTCTCAAAGCACGTAAAAACATTGATGAAAATACTGACTGTTTGACTCTATTATGGTGGGCAGAATAATAATGAATGCATGAACACACATTAGTAAGTTTCCTATAAATACTGAACTTAAAGGTGTTACCTATTCTGTGGATCAGACAGCCTAGGAAAGGCAATTTACAGTCATGCTCTAATTCCACAGTGAATTTGATTGAGGGGCTAAGTTGTTAAGTTGTGGCAGGAAAGCTTTTAGGTCCTCATTACATGGCCAGAGACATAATACATCATCAACATATCTAAACCAGACTCTGTATATATATACCTTGTTTTGTACTTCTCCTTAGTCTGTACTCACCCCTGAAGATGTGAATTACACGAAAGCGCTTGGGAACTTTGTGTTTTCTTGTTTCCTTGTGGTTATCAGCATATACTGGTACTTGGATCACACGCACCTACAGTGATTTACTTGCATATATATATATATATATATATATATATATATATATATATATATATATATATATATGATCTAGTAGTAGTCTAATGTGCTTATCCTTTCGATATTGATCACATATCTATAGCTCTTATGTGAGGAAATACATACCTACTTTTGAAAAAGTGCTGTTTTGAAGTATTTAGAAGTGCACCTGTTATCAAAGTCTTTCTACAATATTGATAAGTCATAAAATGTAAGCTGATCTGAAGGAGAGATTAATTATATGAGGATATATTCGGTTTTGTATTATTAATGCAAAATAAATGATTGATTGATTGATTGATATAGATTTATAGTAACATATAGAGCTTACTATAAATTCATGTGTGAAGTGTGGTGCAGTGGATGAAGAGGAATACACTAAGGTGGTATGGACATGTGCCGAGGATGCATGAAGACAGGGGGACAAAAAAAAGTTTATGAAGCAAGAGAGAGGGGAATGTTGGGAGGGGTAGACCGATTGCCACCTGGGAGAAAAGAGTTAGAGAGTTTGTTGAAGAGAGAGCGGGAAGGGAAGGAAGAGTGTTTGAGAGAGCAAGCGAGGTGTGCAAAGTTAAAATGGCCTATAGACACTTCTACCATGGTGGCTCCTTGTTGGGGAGTTCCGGCAGCACTGCACTCCTGGTAGTGAACCCAGACCGGCCTCCCATAAGGTAATGTACCAAAGAAGAAGCAGAAAATGGAGTGTGAGAGGAGGAGGAGGAACATATGAGGTTGTGTGAGGGGAAGAGGGACTGGGGAGGGCTTGAGGAAGAAGGGAGTGAAGGAGACAACTCAACATACTGTACAAAGACACAGAAGAACAAAGAAGTCAAGTGATAAAGACAATAATCTACCCTCTCCCTGGCGCTGGTTGAATCTCTTGTCAATAGTGAGAAGTGTCAGTCTTGTTGTTGATGCAGCAGACGAAACTACTGTCTCTAGGTCCCCCTGAGGCTGGTAACAACCTGCATCTTTTCTCCACATATATCACTTTATTTTATGTATTTTCCACGTTCATTTATAAAAAAAATATAACCTATATAGAGACATTAACAGATTTTGATTGATAATACTCGATAAAATCCCAATTATGACCAGGAAAAGAAGTTGACCGTGAACTAGCCCTGTTAAGAACTAAAGTCGAGTTGATGACAATAAAAAACATTGAGGGACCGCCGGGCCAACACCGCTAAATAGCTTATTAACTAAATATATTAATAAAGTAGATAACTAAAATACGTGGATATATATAAATAAAATAACTATGAAAATGATGCTTATAACGATGATGATACCATAGTTGCTTAACCTAACCCAACATAATATAATAATAATAATAATAATAATAATAATAATAATAATGATAATAATAATAATAATAATAATAATAATAATAATGGATCATATGAAGATGATGATGATGATAGTGATGATGATGATGGTGATGATGATGATGATGATGATGATGATGATGATGATGATGATGATGATGTGATGATGATGATGATGATGATGATGATGATGATGATGATGATGATGATGATGATGATGATGATGATGATGATGATGATGATGATGATGATGATGATGATATAATGATGATGATGATAATAATGATGATGATGATGATGATGATAATAATGATATTGATAATATATAATAATAATAATATTATATTAATAATGATAATAATAATAATAATAATGATGTGAATGATAATAATAATGATAATAATAATATATATAATATTGATGATAATAATAATAATAATAATAATAATAATAATGATAAAATAATAATATGATAATAATGAATTAATAATATAATAATAATGATAATGATGATATATATAATAAAAAAAATAATAATGATATAATGATATATAATGATAATAATGATGATAATAATGATAATGATAATAATATTAATTATAATGATAATGATGATAATGATGATGATATGATGATGATAATGATGATGATGATGATGATGATGATGATGATGATGATGATAAATGAATAAAATAATAATAATAATAATAATAATATAAAATCTTTCAGCAACATGTCGGATAGAATAAAAACACAATACATTTTATCATTTCACAATTATTATCATAGCTGTTCGGACAGTTGGTTTGTCCTTTGTTATTTTATGACTTTCATTGTCCAATGTTAGTTTAGTGGGTGTTGTAGAACTGTTGTACAAGAAGAGAATCAACTCAGAGGAATGTGAGTTCAGTATTGACGGATATGACTTATTTACTGTACTTTTACTTTTTCCTTTATCCTCTTCACCTAAAGATCGGCTCGTTAGCCGCTTGGACGATCAGTCACGTCTCTGTACGCACTGTTGGCAAGTACTGGGCATGCACCAGCTCCTGAATGTACCTGAACCTGCTCCAGTGTTGGTCAAGTCTGGTCTTGAAAGAGCAACACTTGGCACGTTCTGCGCTCTTCACAGTCCACGGTTCTTGATTTCCTGAAATAACAGCGTAATAGCAAACATTTTATATGGAGTATACAACGTTAGGCATGTCATTTATGAAACAAACAAACAACAACGGGTCAATACACTGCCCTGTGGTACTAGGTGTGTCATACAGAGGCAAATTTTTTTTTTGAGTTTGAAAAATCGGCCCATGGTATTAATGATGTAGTTCTATGTGCAGAATCATGTGATATCTTCAGATTTGAAATTTTCATTTTTTGCTAGGTAAATTTTAACTTGAAATCTTATGAAAATTCAGTATTCCACCTTTTACCAACACCACTAAATAGCTTATTTAAAAGTAAAATAAATGCGATGTAGTTCTATGTGCAGAATCATGTGATATCTTCAGATTTGAAAATTTTTCATTTTTTGCTAGGTAAATTTTAACTTGAAATCTTATGAAAATTCAGTATTCCCACCCTTTTACCACACCCTAAATGGCTTATTTAAAGTAAAGTAAATGTATCAGGTTAATTTATTAGGATGAAAATGATCCAGAATAGTGAAACGAATGATCTTGACACATTTATTAAATTTAATATTCCTTTAGAAAACAAAATCATCAAATACAAAAACCGGTTTTACTACTACGACCGGGTGTTGCTGCACACCATAGAGAACATGTCTTTCTTGCTTCTGTTTCTACTCATCACCTCCCTGCTGACCACCTGAGCTCGGATGTAGCCTTCCCTCCTCTCCTGGCTGTACACGTGACTGCTGGCCTCGCTCACTTGCTGTACACAACGCTCTATACTCTGGGTGTGCGAGGGCCAGGCAGGGACATGCATGGGGTTGTCCAGGAAAGCTCTGACTTGAACATTGGTGAGGCTGCAGGTAAGAAGGGGCTCACTGCCCAGCCTGGATGTTATCCAGATCTATGAGATCAGTGAGGGTCTTGGCACCTAGATTGACTTCAGGAGTCTTCCTGACCCTGAAGGAATCGTCACCAACTGATTCGTCATGCCCAATCCTCTCATAAGTCTCATATCCAAGATCTTTTGACTGCCACTCTTCTCTCCTCCTCATCCTTACTGCAGAGCATTGTCTGCAGAACTGCCTCGGGATGAGCATACCAGGAAGCTCTCCTCACAGTCTGCTCCACAATCTGAACAACCTTCCTTGGCTGACTCCTCAGGAGCTCAAGCTGGAAGAGAACATGCCTCGGACCTTCGGAGAACGATGACTTGACCTTGGTGTTGAACCAATTTGGCAAGTAGACACTCACGATGAATTGGACAATAAGCCTCAGGTTGTGAAGCTGGTTCCCTTTCAGTTTATGATGAGCGACCCAAATTCTGCAGAACCTGAGAGAGCCGTTGTGAGCCACCTAGAATGTGAGACTGGACCTATCTGCAGGTAAGCAAGTCTATCAGGCATGACCCCAGTTTTGATGGCACTGCAAATCATGTAACCATAGTACTGGTCAGTACTCAGGTCGTCAATGACAGTATGTGCAAGCTCAACGAGTGGAGGGCCAACTGTGATTTTTTCAAAGCTCGGATTTATTTCTAACTCAGTGGCAGATTCCAGCATCTTGCCAAGAGGACCAGACCATCTGTTGTTTGAAAGAGTCTTGCCATCCAGCTCCTGGATCAGATGTCTGAGTGGCAACTCGTTGGTGTGGAGGTCACAAACAATCCAGACCAGCTTCCTCCCAATCTTCCGCTCTATCCACTGTATGACCCCCCCTTGCCACCCTGTGTTCGTGTTGGTGCTGTCCCCTCCAATGGCCTGCAGGGTCTGGTCTACGTTCCTCTCTCTGAGCCAGTTCACAATGTTATCTGCCACTATCTCAGCTGGTTTCCTGATGTCATCTTTCTCTGGAGTGAAATGCCACAAATACTTCCCTCCTGGTTCACTGCAGCAGGAGTAGTGTTCCTCCTTCACCATGGCAGGGAATAACTTGTCAGAATCTCCAACTTTCATGAACACTTTAGTGTCATCCCTTCTCCCGTCAAAGAACAAACAATTGATTCCATTTTCTCTTATCCCCTTATCAAACTCCTCTTCTAGGTTACTGACAATTTTCTCCTGAGCTCTCCTTACTTTGTTATGATCTATCACCAGGTGAACATCATCAGGTGTTATCAAACCACCGTCAATCCAGGCAGCTGTTGCTATCTCTGCAGTTTCTCTGAGACCAGTGTGGTGTCGCATGCTGGCCAGAGCTATGCTCGGGATATCTTTCCTATTTCGAATCTTATGCCTGGAAGGTTTGGGATCATTATTTTCTGGGTTAGGGACAAAGTCACCATTCTCCTGGTCAGCACTCGGATCAGCCATGGGGAAGTCATTAAACTCTGAATCAGCTTGACTCCAATCATCGGCCTTTTTTACCTCACCCTGGGCCTTCTCAAGTCTCTTTTCCTCGGCAACTCTTCTCCTCTTCTGTCTCTCTGTGGCAGCCTCCTGTCTCTTGGACTCCGGAATATCTTGGCTAGAAATCATGAGAGCCCCTATACTGCCAGTCTTCTCTCTCTGTGCTTTGACAAATGCCAGTTCGATCACAGGAATCTTCAGTTCACGCTTGCAAATGCAGGAGATGTGGGCCTCGGATTTACAGTCACGATCGCATCCAAACTCAGGACAGAGAACAATTGGGCACTTGTAAGTAATTATGTCAAATAACTGGTCCAGTTGCTTGGCAAAGCTGTCCTTAACTGCAAGTTTTCCTCTCCCAAGAGAGATATCTCTTGCCTTTTTCTAACCTGGCTAGCGTCTCTCACTAATCTTCTTCTGACATTGTTATGACTGGAGGCCCGAACTGGGCGTTAGCCAGAGTGTACTGTGCCAAGACAACTTTGGTCCTTATCACTGGCAATGTCTTTGTTTGTGTAGATTCTTTCCAGGTTTCTTTTTTTCACTGATTTGCCTGATAAAACCCCACCCAAATATCTCAAGCATCTCTATGCAGGCAACTCCGACTTGGGAGCTCTCTCCCCAGACCCAAGATAGTGACTGAGATGGCTGGATTTTGGTTCCTCGTCCTGACACAAGCAGCCATCGCAAATATTATCAACTTATAAATGCATCAGAATCTGAAACAGAAAAAAATATTGTTAGTTGGGTTGTTAAAGAATGAAATCAGAAAGCAATGTTCACTATTTTATTGTAATGCACTAATGCAGCTGTACGTTAGATTTTCGATAAATTTCACGCTAAAATTTACCTAGCAAAAGGTTGCAAAATATTGAAATTGAAATTATTTTCTGTTTATATACACTAAAATCTACCAAAAAAGTGATGGGCCATTAGTTTTAGCTGATCTTCCCTCCTATGACACACCCTACTGTGGTACCCCTCTTGTGACAGGTACGGATGATGATTTGGTGGCATTAATCACCACACACTGCTTGCGGTCATGTAGAAAGTCTTCTGTCAACGCTAGGACATTTCCCCGAATTCCGTACCCTTCTAGGTTGATTTTCACCCTTTCGTGGGGTACACTGTCGAAAGCCTTGGCAAAATCT